GGTGTATTCCCTTGTGTTCTTGCAACTATAATATTACAGTGGTTTTGTTAATCCCCAGTGGGAGGAAAAGTTATAGTCTCACTAGGCAAATAGTTTTAATGTTTACATTCCCTCCAGATAAAAGGCATTTAAGCATGAGACATAAACCTCCCTTCTAGTCTGAACAAATACTTATAAAACATTTTATATCCATTTATCTAATTACTATTCGTTATATACCCTTAATTAAATGTGTGTGTTTTATAACTGACTGTCGTCCCTCCATTCCAAGATTGGCAACTTGGATTTACAACGGTACCCCTAAAAGCTTTGTCTGATCAAGTATGATTATTTTTAACTGTTGTTTCTCTACGTAACTGACTTGTGCATTACTTCTGCTAGAAAAAAGCTGAATTCTACACTGCTGGTAAAACGACGCTTTATTATTATTATTATTATTATTAACAATCAATCTACAAACAAAGTACAACGACCTGTTTATATTCCTCATTATTGATCAGATAATGGTTTCAAGGGAACCGTTGTGAATCTTTAAATGAGGCCAGAGCTGAAAACTATAGAATGAGATATCCTTAATCCCGATTACTTAATCTGAGCATCCAATGGACACACTTTGGATTTTCTTCTGAAACCGTTCTTTCTTGGATATAGTAGAGGAAAATCAAAAAACCGTTTTTTTTTAAATTTAGACTAAGTTAGTCTCGATATTAATAAAAAGAGAGGATCAAGCATTAATCTCAATATCCTCCTTTCTTAAATTTTCAGCTCAGGTTCACTTGAAATTACAAGGACAGTCCCTTTAACATTGCATAGAGTCAGATCAAAAATTTAAAAAAATCAAAAATCCGGACTTAATATTCACAGCGAAAACTAATAATTTGAAACGAGTAAGCTCTTTATCCATGTTAAAAAATTGACTTGAATTTTACAATCTGCTTTTTTATAATCTAAATTTATCCTGTTATCATAATTAAAACAATATTTTCAAGTATTTTGTGTGAGTTATAATTACAAAGGCTGTTTTCTTTTTTAAGTTTACTCATTGCTGCAACTTGGGGGGGTCTTTTATTAAATCTATAATATTATTAAATAGCTTTGATTATCTAGCCCCCTGTGGATCAAATTTATTTTTAAAAAACTTACTACAAAAGAATCATGTTGTATTCCCTGTCCCACCTTCTACTACTGACGGGCAGTAATAAATCTTTTCCTAACCATTAATTCCAAATATATTTAGTACCACTATACAGTATACACTACCAATACATAAACATCTTGTACGCTGCATACAGGAATACAGGGATATGTATTTAGTACCACTATACAATATACACTACCAATACATAAACATCTTGTGCGCTGCATACAGGAATACAGGGATATATATTTAGTACCACTATACAGTATACACTACCAATACATAGTTCTGTGTTGAAAATATGATTTATGTAAACTGTCCTCCGCACAGAATCCAATTCTCTAGAAATCTGCTGTTAAACCAACTAATCCACTAATCCTTTGTAGACGTGATACAGGGATATTAACTAATATATTCAAAGTTAATAGAATTTTTATATAAACCAGTTCCTAGATCTGGACTGATTTAACTCCGTACAATACAAATCTGCTCTCACTGTGGAAAAGTGGGAAACATAGAAAATTGAGTAAATTGAGTTTTTTGGTCGTAAAATATTTATATTTATATATTTTGTTTAGGGCTGAAAAAATGGCATCCTAAAGAAAAATCGCAAAAAAGGGTCGTATGCTCAAAATATGCTTGAATTAAAAATATATTTTATATCATCATTATTGATATTATTCACCCGGAAAATTGTCTATTACGTTGTGATGAAAGTCTAAAATTCTTGTTGTTTAAATTAAATTTTTCAGATTTTTAACAACCTTCTCCAATGTAAACAAAGTATGCAGAGTTACATTTTAGGAATTTTCATATAAATATTTTACTATTCAAGCATAAAGAGTTTTGTTTTTAAACGTAAATATTAACCTTTTTTGAGAAGGGGGCGCGGAGCTTAAAGAATGTATTCTTAGAATGCGTAACCTTTTATGTCCAAGCTAATCAAATATAGATACATATATCAACTAAGTTTTTTTATTTTTATGAATGCCAATTATTTTTGCTAAACCACGGACCGAGGACTGAACAAAAACTATGAAAAAAACATTGCTCAGTTAAAATGTACTTGACGCTGTATTTACTAAAAGGTGTATTAAATCCAAGTGGTCTAAATCAGCCCTCAGCATTTTGTTTACTTTTTTACTTCTGTATGTACCATACCATGGTTCATTTAAAGTACCGTACTGACTTTTACGCAGAGCTAGAGAAAATTGTACAGCTTTAGACAACAGAACGGGACAGACTATTAATAGTGTCAATGTGTTTGCTTTAATGCGCCCACTTTTCTGTTTTAGAAGCACATGTAGGATATAGGATGTAGGATATGATAAATAGGATGCAGTATAAAGGATGAAGGATGCAGACTGTAGGAGACAAGATGAAGGAGGCAGGATGCAGGATATATGATGCAGGAAGTAAAATGTAGAATGCAAGATGCACACATGTCGAACTCCTGGAAACCATCCAGTGAATTACAGAAAATACATAATTGTTTTCCTGGGTTTTCAGTTAATATTTTGATTATATATTGTTTGTGTAAGAAGAGGTTTATAATAAATCTAGAAAATAATTCCTCCTCTAATTAATCTTTATTAAAATTACCTAAAATTCCTAATAAATCCACCAACGGTAGAGTTAGTGGATCAGGATTGAGGAGAATAATAATAATAATAATAATTGTTTCTTTTACTTAACCCCTGATACAGCATTATTATTTAATGCTTAAGCAATACTGACGAAATATGTGTGCGTAAAAACAATAAAAGTTTATGAAGGTTGTACTTTTAATGTGAGTTTATTTGTTTTCTTTTTGAAAATTAATTTATATGAATTGATTCTTTACCTCAAACTCAAATTGTTGAATCCTTTTATCTTTGCAACCTGTTGTCATAGACCTTAGATCTTTTGAGCTATGAATTCTTAAATCAAATAATCTAGGTTTAAAATATCAAAGATTTACATCATCAGGATACAAAGATATTTGATTTTGTGGCAAATACTCAGTTCCTTTCCTATTTACATATATAAATATATATAGGCCCGGTACAGCACAGAAATAAAATTATGGGGAAATCTTTTATTGATAATTGATGTTTTATAAGGTTGCTGAAATTTTTTTTTAAATAGATACCTTTAGATTTCTGATAGTATAGTTTGTTATTTAGAAATAGAAAGAGGAATGTTAAATGGTTTATATTGTGAGGGAGAGATGGTATAAAGCTTGAGTGTGGGATATTTACAGACTGTATTGTTGTCATTTCCAGAGAATTCTTTTCTAAATAATACTTATTTATAATATATTGCCTTATCTTTGGCAAGCCAGTCCTCGGCTCAACGAGCTCTTTACTTTACTTTCTCTGCTTGAACTTCTCCAACCAGTCAGAGAATTTATACAGGGATATTTATTTTATTGAAAAACCCTCCTAAAAAATTAGATGTTGAGATTTTATTCGCCAATTTTCCGGAATTAAATTAATTTTTTTGGGGTAGTGCATGAAAGGTTAAACAAAATAGTTGTAGATGTCTAATTTTTCATTATTTCCTAGAGCATCTTTAAAATCATTTCCCCTCCTCTTACTCCCCCCCCCCCCCCCTATCCAGGGGCATATACAGGGAATTTGATAATTTTATGCTAAAACCATGACCAGCTGGGGGGTGAAAGGTGGAAAATGTGTAAGCAAGATTTAGATTTTTTATAAAATATCTTAGAGTAAACAAGTGGCGCCAAAGGGAAATTTTTTTAATCTTTTCTTAAAATTCAAAATTAATTACCTCCCCCCCCTCCTCCCCCCATATGCCGCCTCTGGGTATATTTTTTTAAGAATTAAATGAAATTATTTTTGTTCTCTGTGTGAAAAATCAAAATTAAACATCTGAAGGCAAATGTTTTCATTCTTTTTGGTACTATTCAACCAAAACTTTAGTTCTTTTCCCCTAGAAATCTAAAGGGTGTAGGGTGGAAAAGGATTTATCTAGAAAATATAAACCTCAAGAAAACTGACGATCGTATACCTAATTTCTAAAACGAAGAAGGTTCCACTGTGTGTTTTTCTTTTGTTATCTTTTAAAAAGCAATAATGATGATTTCATTCCAAAAGTGAGCTTAAGGAAATAAATAAAAATCCAACCAAATCCGACAATGTTTTAATTGTTATTTTTCCTATCCTCTTAAAAAGCATTCCCATTGTATATTTACAGCAGTACATTACAGAATATTTACAGCAGTACATTACAGTATATTTACAGCAGTACATTAGAGTATATTTACAGCAGTACATTACAGTATATTTACAGCAGTACATTACAGAATATTTACAGCAGTACATTACAGTATATTTATAGCAGTACATTACAGAATATTTACAGCAGTACATTACAGTATATTTACAGCAGTACATTACAGTATATAAACGTAAAAAAATTTATAATTTTTGTTTCAGTTTGGTCAGATGACGATGATTTCTTTGACGACTCCTTTCACGAGGACTTTGATGATCTGGAGAAACAAAATGAGTTCTCTGGAAAAATAGAAGATGGCTGGAGGAACTGGGAGGAAAGGTAAACATGAAATAAAGGAAGTGATCTCTTATCACATACTCTAATTTTCTAATCTTTACATCACTTGATGTACTTGAAATTCTGCTAGGTAAAATAGTCAATTTTAAAATCCATGTTCAGACTTAGTGATAAGAACATGAGAGTTTGTGACATATAAAATTACAAAATTTGTAAAACTCAGTTGAAATGGAATTCGGTAAAACTAATCTTAAGGCGTAAAATAAAACTAAATGTACATTGAAGATGTTGAAAAAAAAACACCACACTTTCCTCTCTTAAAGGCTTAATTATTTTTCTTCAACAGCCTTTAATGGACTGGTGGATGGAAGCATGGATAAGTTTGGTTGGTTAAAGTAAATGGATTGTAAGATAAATAAAGTAGTAATGTTTTGTTTCTATTAAAATAATGGATGCATGGAAAAGGATTTAGTGCCACTGCAATCTCTTAAACAATAGAAAGATAAACAAAAGTTGGAAACTCTAGATATTTAGAACTAGGAAATTAATTATTTAAAAGTTATAAGATACTAACTAACCCCAGACAACTTAATATTTTGTAGAATATAGAATTGTAAGAAATAATTATTTTAAGTGACTTCATTAAAGGGTGTTATTGAAGATTTAAACCAGTTCCTTTTAAAAATTATGACAACTGTTGTCTCCTCTTCTCAGAAAAAAAATAACTGGATAATAAATACGCAATTGAGTGAAATTTCTGACGATGGGTGGTTCTCTGAGAATCCAAGAATGGATGTAAGGATCTTGGAAAATATCTCGATTATAAATAATTGGACGAATTTTAATCAGGGCTGAAAATTCTTGTATTAGATACCCTTAATCCCGTTTGATGAATCTCGATATCCGCTGTGGACACTTGATTTTCTGCTTAATTCTCTCATTAGGATATCCCTGCTGGGTTCCGACCAATGAGAGCTCTCTCATTGATTTAGTTAGCGCAGATCTGCAGATTTAAAAAAAGAGGAGATCAACCATTGATCTTGATATCCACAGTTCTAAAGTTTTCAGTTCAAAACTGGTTAAAATTAACATTATCTCCATCACTGACGCTTCTCTGATGTAAGCTGCAAGGTCTCTGTTTTAAATTGTAAAAGAAACTAATCAAAAAGGGAATAGCACGAAATTCTGCCATATGACTGACCGGTTTACTGAAGATAAGAAAGTGAAGAAAATGTAAAATTATGAAAATCTAAAACTTATTCCACCATCAATAAATCCTTTAATTTTTCCATCCTTCAGATAAGAAATTGTTATTCTTCCTCGGGTTCATGGATAAAAACATCATCAAACTTACAATTTTCAATTTATCATTCTTGCACAGGGAAGAAAATGTCATTTATTTTTGACAAAATTTGAAACAATGAATGCATTGATTTTAAGAAATAGTTGTAAGATGAGTGGGGGAAGGCAGGCGAGCATAAGCCACAACATTTTTCCCTTCCATGCCACAAATTAGTTTTTTTTGTCTTCCAGCAGCCATAAGCCACAACATTTGACCCTTCTGGCAATTATTAGGTTTTCGATTCGTAAATTTACAGCATTGAAATAGCGATATTCAAAAAACCAGCCATGTCATGCAAAAGAAATATATATAAAGATCTTTATATTTAATAATAATGATTCATTTTAATGTAGACTGCTAAAGCTAATTTTCCCTAAAAATAAATTCAATCTTTCCTCTAAAATGTCTTATTTTTAAAAACATTTTGAACAGTAAAAATAATGCTCTATAACACACTCTTTGAATTCAAAGGGCGCTCATAACTGAAAATTTGCACTTTTCAACGAGAAAATTGCAAAATAGAATTTTGTTGGTGGAAATCTGTAATGCTCAAGTAATGGCAGTCAATATTGCAATTTTTTCTCGTCTTTTTTTATTCTTTAGACTCCCCCCAACAGTTTGTCTTGGTTCCCACAATGCGTATAGTGATGGAAAATAGTCTTTGTAAAGAATAAAGTTTAACCATTGAACACACAATTTATTGACGGAAGGGTCAAACGTTGTGGCATGCAAGACCGTATACGGTTAAGTTGTGGCTTATGGCTGCTGGAAGACAAAAAAGCTAATATGTGGCATTGAAGGGAAAATGTTGTGGCTTATGGCCGCCTGCCTTCCCCGCTCATAACATTGATACACAATATTGCAACTTCGTAACTGCTTACTACTGCTTAGGATTAATCACCTACTGATTATAGAACACTAAGCTTATTAATTCGAGTCTATACAGTAAATACACTGTAATGAAGAGAATAAAGGTTTTCTTAGATTAAGGTTTATCAATAGTTGGATGCCAGGAGAGAGTATCTGTTTGAGAAGTTGGCACAAGTTCTACAAAACCTAGATATATCAGAGAATAGTGGAGAATACAGAGAATAGTGGATAATACAGAGAATAGTAGAGAATACAGAGAAAAGTGGAGAATACAGAGAATAGTGGAGAATACAGAGAATAGTGGAGAATACAGAGAATAGTGGAGATTACAGGGAATAGTGGAGATTACAGGGAATAGTGGAGATTACAGGGAATAGTGGAGATTACAGGGAATAGTGGAGATTACAGGGAATAGGGGACAATTCAGGGAAAAGTAGAGAATACAGAGAATAGTGGAGAATACAGGGAATAGTAGAGAATACAGAGGATAGTATAGAATACAGAGATGAGTGGAGAATACAGGGAATAATGGAGAATACAGAGAATAGTGAAGAATACAGGGAATATTGGAGAGAACAGGGGATAGTGGAGAATACAGGGATTAGTAGAGAATACAGAGAATAGTGGAGAATACAGATAATAGTTGAGAATACAGAGAGTAGTTAAGAATACAGAGAAAAGTGGAGAATATAAAGAATAGTAGAGAATACAAAGAAAAGTAGAGAATACAGAGAAAGGTGGAGAATACAGAGAGAAAAGTAGAGAATTAGAGAGTTGAATAAAAACAAGCAATAAGAAAAGAGCTAGAGAAAGGATGGAACAAGTGTGAGGAAGTTAGAGAATTGGTATCTGGCTAATTTGTCAATTAAATCTAAAGGAATTGAGTCTTTGCTACAAACTCGACATTTCTAATCCATATATCACTGCAACCTGATGGTGTACACCTTTAATATTTCAAACATAAATTATTTGATCTAACAGAATTCTTATTTTGAAATATTTAAGGTCTATAACATTGAGTTTCTAAGTTACAGGGATCATTAAAGAAAATAACATGCTTGTATCCCTGTTGTTTAGGTGTCTAGAGATAGGGGGTGAGAAGATTCTAGAGAGCTGGCAGAGAGAGCAGGAGCAGCTTATCTACTGCTTCACGGAGCAGTTCGATCAGGATACAATCCTCCGAGAGATAGAGGACAAGAAGAAATCTGGAGATCTGGACGAGGTTTTTAAGAAATATTGCGGGTAACCTTTTAGTATTACTTATTCTTGTTTCTCTTTTTTTCTCATCCTGTTTCTCTACTCTTTTAGGATCCTCTTAATACTATTTCTCTTTTACCGTCCTGTTTCTCCTTTCTATATATGTATAATACGTTTGCTGTTTTATTGCTTATTTATCCTGCTTTTCCCTCGCTTTAATTCTATTTATCCCCCCAATTCCAGATCCTGTTTCTATTGTCCCTACTGTTTCTCATCTTTTATCAAGTTTCTCCCTACTTAAAATAAATAAAACAGTCACCCATCAGTCCCCGCCAATTATTCATCCTGTTTCTTCCAACTTATCCATCCTGTTTCACCATCCTTTTCCATCCTGTTTATACCTTCTGATTCTTAAAGGTTTTACCATCTTTACACTCCTGTTTCTCCCTTTTATGCATTCTGTTTCTTATTGTCCACCCTGTTTCTCCTTCTTTCCATCCTGTTTCTCCCCCCCTTCCCATCATGTTCCACCCTCCTCATCCATCCAGTTTTTTTTCATTCTATTTCTTATACTGGTTCGTAGTGTTTTACCCTCTTTATCCATCCTGTTTCTTCCTCCTTATTCACCCTGTTTCTCCCTCCTTATCCATCCTGTTTCTCCCTCCTTATACATCCTGTTATTCCCTCTTGTTCAAATCGTTCTCTTTGAGAACCCCCATGTGTTATCCATGTGTTATCCATCCTGTTTCCCCCTAATTATTCATCTTGTTTTTTCCTACTTATCCATCCTGTTTCACCATCCTTTTCCGTCCTGTTTATTCCTTCTGATTCTTTAAGGTTTTACCATCTTATCCCTCCTGTTTCTCCCTCTTATGCATCCTTTTTCTCCCTCCTTATCCATCCTGTAATTCCCTCTTGTTCAAATTGTTCTCTTTGAGAACCCCCATGTGTTGGGTTGATATTTAAAATTTAAAGTTAGACAGCTGAGGATGTATGAGGATGTAAAGTTTACTAAACCCTTCACATTTTTACCATTTTCATCAATCTTCCTGATCAATATATCCTATATAATACTTACTAAACCAGATCCATTCAACCACTCAATCCAACCATTTATTAGATGATTCTTAGACAATCATTAAACCAGCAAACCCCCCTCTCCCCCCTTTTTGCCAACCCTAGATATTTTAATTAACAGAGTTTTGGAAACTTTCTATTCCGTTGAACTCCGGATCCCAGTTAAATATTATATTATGATGAAACTATAGTGTACTCTACCATTCTAACTCACTTATTGTGAATTTCATAAAAAAAACGTGCTAAGGGAATCATAGTCCTATAAGATTAGCTGCACATTATAGGACGTGTGCTATGAAGTTTTAATTGGTTCCCAGATTTTCTCCAACAAAATTAGGATATTTCCAAAATATTTTTTTCAATTGAAATGAAATTGAAATTGAAATGAACTTTATTTTTTTACTTCTGCTTTGTTTCAAAGCTTATTTGATCTTAAGAAATAGCCATTGAAATAAGACAAGTACACAAACGTTTCAAAAAATTTCCTATAACTATTGTTTGGGCACGACGTGCTATGAAGTTTCTGGACTTCAATTTTCTCTATATCTCGCAGGTTTTCGCCTTTTTAGATTATATTTTTTCCCTCGCTAAAGCTCGGTACAAAATTAAATCTAAAAAGGCTTGAACCTTCTCAATAAAGAGAAAATGTCTGTGCAAAAACTTTACAACACTGCGAACCAAAATAATATTGTTATAAATAGTTATTGTAATAAAGGTGATCTGCACTATATCTTGTCTATAGGTTTCTGTCATAATAATGCAATAAATAAGAGTATTAGTATAGGACTTTATTGCATAACTGCAAACATACTAGAGACAGTAATATAGAAATATTTGAGCATAATAGGATATTTGGCTGCGTACTAATACAATATAATAGCTGAAGTGCCCTGCGTTGCCCAGGTTATCCCGCCGTTTACCAGCGCTTGGTCTTAAACTATGATTTTAGCTGAAGTGTCCCGGCGTTCCCCGTGAAAATCTAAAAGTTGAAAAAGTTGAACCTATGTCACCTCCGGGGTTTCCATGGGTTCCCTCAAACAATTTGGTCCAGTCGTTTGGTCAGGTAGAGCGAACATATGAATGAGTAATTTCATTCTTTCAACTATTGCTGCACACTTACAGTAACTTTCTGAAGGCTTTAAAGGATACACTTAAAGTATCTTTATAATATAAATTTGAAAATTATAAAGCCGAAACCTAATTTGGGCGCATATTATTATAAATAATAATATATACATACATACAGGACGGCATCACGGTTCACTGCATACAAACTGATTTAAATTATCTTTTACTTAAGAAATGCCGTAAACGATTTACAACTTTGTTCGTCCAAGGCCAAGGCCAAGACTTATTGTCAATACGAATCTTATCATTTGTATCCTAAAAAGGGTACTAAGAAATCTTTAACATGAGTTTCTTTGGCATAATATGCCTTTTATACTAACACTATCTGTTTTGTTTCTTATTTATCAGCTTTTGTCGCATAGGCAACCATTATTTATATTTTAGATTTAAATAATAAATTTGGGGGGGGGATAAAGATCATTATTTGATACTGCGTGTGTTATAAATGAAGAATTGGTAATTGGTTCGCTCAAATTGATTGTCATGTTACAGGAGTCCTATTAGTAAACTTCGGAGCTGTCTAGAGAACTTTCTCACCATATCTCATCAGTGTTTGCATCAGGAGGATAGGGTGGGACTCAACATCACACTCAAGGTACATTTCCCAATGGTTCAGTGCGTTCTTACTTGGCGTCCTCATTATCTTCATCAATGTTAAGCCATTATTGTGTCTGAATACAACAGAAAGTGTTGATAAATGTAGCCAGCTAGTAATTTTTACCCTATAAATGCCAGTACAGAATACTTAGCCTAACACTTAAAACTTACTTAGTTCTTAGAAAACAGCCTCAACATAATATATTTTTAAGCAATTGTTAATCATATTTATTTTTATTTTATTTTATTTTCTAAAGCTTTAATTTATAATACTTCTTAGCAGATTTTTTTGGGACGTTGATTTTTCAGAAATATGTAACAAATTTAAATATTCCCCTTTATGTCCAAATTCATGTGCCCCAAAAAGTCTCCATGTTGATAAACTACTTTAGTTGGGAAGAAAAAAAGAAAGTCTTAGGATGGGCAACACATTTTTAGTTAGTTCTTCATTTCTTGTATTTGTGATAATAGAACTATTATGGATGTATATTCTCCCCCCCCCCCTTCCTTTCTTTTGAAATCTTAGTGTTTTCCAGGAAGTAAGGTATGTTTTTTCTTCATTTTTTNTCCGCTTAGCCTCTAAAAAATATACGACTATTGGTGTAATTGCTCGAAATAAATTTAATTACTTAAAAGCAAAGCACAATAGCAAAGCAAATACAATTTCTTTCTTTACTTAAGTTATTCATTGGACACATGTAGTACAGGGAAATACAGGGAATAACGGGGAATAAGGGGGAATACAGGGAATACAGGGAATAAAAAGGAATACAGGGAATAACGGGGAGTACAGGGAATACAGGGAATACTGGGAATATACGAAAATACAAAATGTTACAGTAAATGCGTGGAAATACAGGGAGATACGGGAAAATACAGGAAAGCACAGGAAAGCACAGGAAAGCACATAGAATACAAAGCAAAATGGGAAATTGGGTAAATCATGATACAAAATAATACAGGAATTGGAATACGCGGCGTACAGCGTACAGAAAATTAAAAGAATACAAGGAATACAGTAAATATAAGTATTCTTGAGTTAAGCTGAGCAGAAATATATCTTCCCTCAATAAATCTCCGTATTTCTAATATATCCAAGTCTTATTCACATTCCGATTTAATTCTTTTCAAGTTATATTTCAAGAGAAGTTTAAAATTGGATCAAATCCATGTAGTTCATAGTCAAAGGAAAAATACTAAAATTCTCTCGATGCCTTTCAATGAAAAGAGAAATGAACAGATGTTAAGTTGTGTGGGGAAAAAATCTGAAATGTTTCTAAATTAAAGAAAAGAAACTTTTGAAAAAGTACTAATCAATTACGGATTACATTTTTCCCTGAAACTTCGAAAAAAGCTTAAAGTAAAACTTTGAAACAAGTTTTAAAAATAGGGATAATTCAATTTAAAGTGAATAAAAAGTATATTGTTTGTTTGAAAGAAATATGATAAATGACCTCAAGAATAGTTTTCATTTTCTTTTCTAAGGTTAGCACTAGCAGTGTTGTATTGTAAATGTGTTACATATGTTGGATCTAATATAATTTTATTCTGGGGTTTTGTCGCAGTGGAATTTGTATTTCTACAAAACAATGAAGAACGTTTAGTTTTTATCTTTATTTTAATGTGTTCCATTAGTGTTTAGATCCTATAATCTTAGCTCATTAGCACTGCTAATTAGAGGCAATAAATGTTTTTAGTATTTTTATATAATGTTTTTTTTTTAATCCAATACGATGAGCCTTTTTCTTTTTTGATACTTCTTGTCACAAAACTTATTTATTTAAAAAATGTTTGAACAGAGCTGAAAACTTTAGAATGGTGGATATCGGGATTAATGCTTGATCCTCTCTTTTTGATTATCTCAAGATTAACATAATCTTGCAAGATTATCTTAAAAGTGTATGAAACACTGTAATCATCTGAGAAACTGTAGCAGCCAATCAGAGAAAAGCGGACAACCAATGAGAGAACAGAAATATTCTCATTGGAGAAAACAATTAACGGATATCCAAGGAGAGAAAAAAAGAGTGGATCAAGGACTAAAATGAAAAGTTTCCACAGTGGATATTCGGATCAAGAAGTCAGGATTAAAGTTTAACCATTCTAAAGTTCCCAGCTCAGGATTAATTATCTTAAAATCAAGTTATTTTATTTATGTTTTGATAATTCTTGAAATAAATGCATTTTTTATAATTTCAATGTTTGTACTTTAGATGGTAGATGCTGCAATAAACTTCACATGTCATAACTCTGGGGACAGAATAGCATGTAAGTATCAAATTTTCAAAATTTTAATTAAAAAATATGTTTAAATAAATATATTATGTTCTATGCAAGGAAAAGACTAGCACAAAACAATTATAATCCCTCTATTTCGAAAAAATATGTTTTATTATTCACTCTTAATTTTGATAGAGACTAGACAGTGCATCTTTTATCAACCATAAATTGATAAGAATATGATAGCTTGAAGGATTAATTATTTGTTCATGTTGGATAAGGGAAATTATTTTAAAATGTTGTGTTTATTTTATTTCAAAGTGGGTATTTAGAATTTGGCAGCAATTATCCGAGAAACCCTTTCGAAAACGAATTAGATTAAGTGCAAGGTCAATCCTGAGCTGTGGCCGGATTCAGTAAGCCGCAAGAAGTCATAGAACTACCCACCACCGGTGCAAGTTAAGGATTCATGAGGATTTAGATAATGAATTTGAGAGTGAATTGGTAATTCAGGATTTGAACTGGCGGTAGGTTGTTAGCGAACAATCCATTAATTAAATTCGGTCTCTGTTTTATTCTACCTCATTTTAAAATTTGTTGTGAATTTTTCTTCTTCTTGAATACTCCGTTATAAGACATCGGATCAGCATTAGTTAAGTAACATTTCCTAGAAATGGCGACCATTAGTGAACAAGTAAACCAGTTGATTAATGAGAATAGTTCCAAATACCGATAAACAATAAACATGTTCCTAACTAATAATGTTTCATAATCTCTTTCAAAAAGCTGAACAGTCCCTCCTTACCACATAGAGAGAGGATACTTACTTTAAGGTTAACTAGTCGAACTAAAATATCAAGTTTAACCCTGGTTTAATTTTGTATCTTTGTTGTAAAGTTTTAGGAAAACTTATTAACAATGACATTCTCAGGGTAGTAATAAGGATCTATTGCAAAACTTAAAACTTTTACTTTAAACTTTCAACCTGTACTGCGATATAACTTATTGAAAACATTGCAAGCTATTGAGAATTATTTGATAGAATAATATTTGAATAAAAAGTAGAATTAAAATATGTCAAATTCATTGGTTAGCTGGCAGTAGAGTTCCAATATGGTGTAAAATTAATTTCAAACTTTCAACTAAATGTTCAATATAACGGGGATAGAATAGATATCTAGAGTAGAGAGAAGGATTGAACTGACAGGAGTTCGGGTAATTTAGGGTTCAAATTGGGTTTGCAAACAGGATTTTGGGTTATGAGATGAGAAGGATTTTCTGGAGAGAGGAGAAGAGTTGCGCGTAGTGGAGATTTTTTTTATGGGGATTAAAGCAGAGTTATATTTTGAGGGATGGATTTATAGAGTGATAAGCAGAGTTATATTGAGAGGGATAGATTTATGGAGAGATGAGCAGATTTATATTGAGAGGGATGGGATTTATGGACAGATAAGCAGAGTTGTATTGACTGGGATGGGATTTATGGAGAAATAAGCAGTGTTATATTGAGAGGGATGGGATTTAAATAAGCAGAGTTGTATTGAGAGGGATGGGATTTATGGAGAAATAAGCAGAGTTGTATTGAGAGGGATGGGATTTATAGAGAGTTAAGCAGAGTTATATTGAGAGGGATGAGATTTATGGAGAGATAAACAGAGTTATATTGAGAGGGATGGATTTTATGGAGAAATAAGCCGAGTTGTATTGAGAGGGATGGGATTTATAGAGAGATAAGCAGAGTTATATTGAGAGGGATGAGATTTATGGAGAGATAAGCAGCAGAGTTATATTGAGAGGGATGGGATTTATGGAGAGATAAGCAGAGTTGTATTGAGAGGGATGGGATTTATAGAGAGATAAGCTGAGTTGTATTTAGAGGGATGGGATTTATGGTGAGATAAGCAGAGTTGTATTGAGAGGGATGGGATTTATGGAGAGATAAGGAGAGTTGTATTGAGAGGGATGGGATTTATAGAGAAATAAGCAGAGTTGTATTGAGAGGGATGTGATTTATGGTGAGATAAGCAGAGTTGTATTGAGAGGGATGGGATTTATGGAGAGATAAGCAGAGTTGTATTGAGAGGGATGGGATTTATGGTGAGATAAGCAGAATTGTATTGAGAAGAGATGGGGTTTATTGAGAGAAAAAAACGTTGCACGGAGAGTAGATGGGTTTTACTGAGAGATAAAAGAGTTGCATGGAGTAGAGATGGTTTTTATGGAGAGATAAGCCGAGTTGTGTTAGGAGGGGATGGGTTTTATGGAGGGATAAGATGAGTTACACAGCGAATACATGGGTCTAACGAATTGAAAATATGTTTTTTGAAAATAAATTGGGTTTTATGAAGAGGAAATGGGTATTAATGAGTGATAAGAAGGGTTGCACTACGTGATGATGTGTTACGAAACTGAGATGGATTTTATGAAGAGGAGATGGGTCTTTTGAAGAGGAGATGGGTCCTATGAAGAGGAAAGGAGTTAAATGGAGGGATAAGGGAAGAGGAGAGGGGTTTTATGAGTTTCACTTAGAGATGACAAGGGTTGCATAGAGAGGAGAATGGTTTTATTGGGGTTTATTGAGATTTATTGAGATTTATTGATAGACTAGAGGCAGTAATAGAAGATTTATTTTTAAATCAGTTCAGAATTTATGGATCTTATATTTTATATATATTTTATTCTAGTATTTATGGCGGAGTCTGGTATGGATTGCGTCCAGGAGAACAAGGAACATATACTCACATGTCTCAACAAATCCGTTCCAGAGATATTTCAGGTATACTAGTTAAAGAACTGAGGTTCTGTTTGTGTCTCTAGACAACAAATGTCAATTTGAACGAGAAAATAGTAACAAATTAGAATAAATACCAATTTAGATTCTCATTTTCAATAAAAGATTTGAAATTGACAAGTTTACTCTGTATCTCAACATATTCAAATGTTAAAAGGACTGTAAGCATAATTTAAATTGAACATCCATTCACAACCATACCCTTGAAGGTTTGTCCGATGAAGTAAAATTAGATATCCATGTTTTAGTTTTTGAATACTGATAAATGCGTCAGACGCAATTGAAAAATTAACAGTATTAATTGAAGACTTTTCAAACCTTATTTCTTCCACATTATTGATCAGATGTACGGTTGTTAAATTAGGCATATATATAGTTTTAAGTTCAGGCATTTTTATTTCTCAATCAGCGCTTCAACCTTTTGGGGATGGATGCCATAGTGTTTGTGCATAATTCTTTTCGATTAACTATTTCTTAATAAATAATTATAATTTGTGCACAAAAATAAATCTAGGGGGGCCAAATATGCGTGAAGTAATAATCCCCCCCTGTGTACGCCCTTGAAGGAAATAGCAAAATTACGTTTTTAGTCCGGGCTATTAAATAGTTTTAAAAATAGTATCTTGTGAGCCAACCCCCAGAATTATTCAGCCTCGTGGTTTTTGAACGATTTTAATGTCATATGTCATAGAACGTAAAAGCGTTTTATAGATATCAAATAAATCTTGTTTTTTTATTTTATAATTCTCAACTCTCAGCTCAACTACCATACAAAGCCAGTCACCCCCTGTAACACTGTTTATCAGGAAGATGAACCGGATAATAGGACGCTGAGTATTTGTATAAGTTGAACTATAGTTAATTATTTCTCTTGTTCAAGTAATAAATTCTAATATTTCAAGGTTTACTGAATACTAAACAGCTGGTTTCTCTGGTTAAAGGAAACCAAACCGGGGGGGGGNTCTGATCTGATCTGATCTGATCTGATCTGATCTGATCTGATCTGATCTGATCTGATCTGATCTGATCTGATCTGATCTGATCTGATCTGATCTGATCTGATCTGATCTGATCTGATCTGATCTGATCTGATCTGATCTGATCTGATCTGATCTGATCTGATCTGATCTGATCTGATCTGATCTGATCTGATCTGATCTGATCTGATCTGATCTGATCTGATCTGATCTGATCTGATCTGATCTGATCTGATCTGATCTGATCTGATCTGATCTGATCTGATCTGATCTGATCTGATCTGATCTGATCTGATCTGATCTGATCTGATCTGATCTGATCTGATCTGATCTGATCTGATCTGATCTGATCTGATCTGATCTGATCTGATCTGATCTGATCTGATCTGATCTGATCTGATCTGATCTGATCTGATCTGATCTGATCTGATCTGATCTGATCTGATCTGATAGGAAATGAGTATTAATATATAACGCATGAGATTGTAGAAATGTTTAATTTTTTAAATTTGTTTTTGTAAAGAAAATTTGTTTACCATTAAAATACCTTTTAATCCTTCAAACTTTTAAGATTCAATTTATCAATCTGAAAAGCACTTCTTTTCAAAATAAGAATTTTTTAAATGAAATGATAATTTTTTCATTGATCTGGCATAATCTAATAATTTCAGCATTTAAAAGGGCTAAATTGAATTGAAAATAAAATTTGAATTTGTTTTGAAGTTCAATATTCAAATTATTCAGAAAAATGCAAAAATGTAATGTCACTCTGAAAATTAAAGAAAGAAATCTTTCTGAATTTCTTATCACATGGAAGATAGATGTATTTTACTTAATATTGTTATTGCTATATAGTTTAACATGTCACTAATGTGTAAGAATTCTGAAATATTTAAAGTTACTCTGCGACTGAATATGAATATCTTGAGAATATTCTGAAGTATATTTCTCTGCAGTGCCAAGGAGTGTTGGTTTAAAATATAACTAGAAAACTTATATATTTTTCCAACTGTTGGAGTTAAGTGTTTTTACATAATTTTTGTCATATTGCATATTGCAGGTCTTGAACCGTAGTTTTTCTAGGTCTTTCAAAATCAAACGGACAAAAAATAATTTGAAACTTATTTTGTCAGATTTGGAAATAATTGTTAAAAAGGAAATACAATTAAAACAATTTTTTAAGTTTGTTGGCCTGTTATTATTATCCATTTTGGCGTTTATCTCTTAGACATTAGATGTGTATGTAAAAGGGGTGTATAAAATCCACCCCCCCCATTTCAAAGACCCAAGAGAAGGGGAAGAGAAGAAAGGAAGGAAAAGGGAAAAGAATAATGGGAAAGGGAGGGGGTAAAAGAAAGGAAATGGGGAACTGAGAGGGATAGAGTGGAAGTAAGGGAAGAATCGGGAAGGGGGAAAGGAAGGGAGGGAAGTGAATAGGTAGGGAGGGAGATAGGTGGGGAAGGGAAAGAGTAATATAGGGATGGGAAAAGAAGGGAAGTAGAAGGGGAAGGTATTTGGAACGTGTTAAAAGTTATGATAATAGAATACTTATTCCTCGAAAAATTCCAAATAGTCAAACCTACCAACATGCGCACATACTTGATCAAAATTATAGAAAAACTTACAAATAATCAATCCCATTCCCAATTTTTTTGCAATTGCCACCATACCATTACCCATTACAAAATTGCTTGCGACGTCATGTATGCTTTTCAAAATGCATCCTCTAAGGGATTATTATGCACTGCAATATAAATATTAAAAAAATATGTCTTTAGTTATTGAATTTTGGGAAGGAAATAAAAAAAAATAAAAAAAAAAAAATAACAAAATAACAAAATAACAAAATAACAAAATAACAAAGGGAACTCTTGTATTGTTGATCTCATTTTTCTTGTTAACCTGCAGATTAATTTAATCTTTATCCGATTCCGCCGTGTCATTGTACATTTATCCTTAAAGTAAAAGTGTCCTCAATGGATATCGAGATCTAGCGATCGGAATGGTGAGTATCCAACACTAGAGTTCCCAGTTCAGGAGATTAAATGTAATTTGATGAAAATACTTTCTTGCATAAAAAATATTTTGGTTATTTTTTGTTTTTGTTTAGAATGATGGAAGAAACGGAGGTAGAATGCATTTTTACGTGTTTCAGCAGGAAAACTGCAGGTATAAACTGTTTATTTACGGGTTTCAGCAGGAAAACTGCAGTTAGAAAATGTTTATTACCGGGTTTCAGCAGGAAAACTACAGGTAGAAACTGTTTATTTATGGGTTTCAGCAGGAAAACTGCAGGTAGAAACTGTTTATTTACGTGTTTCAGCAGGAAAACTGCAGATAGAAAATGTTTATTTACGGGTTTCAGCAGGAAAACTGCAGTTAGAAAATGTTTATTACCGGGTTTCAGCAGGAAAACTACAGGTAGAAACTGTTTATTTATGGGTTTCAGCAGGAAACTGCAGGTAGAAACTGTTTATTTATGAGTTTAAACAGGAACACTGCAGGTAGAAACTGTTTATTTATGGGTTTCAGCAGGAACACTGCAGGTAGAAACTGTTTATTTACGGGTTTCAGCAGGAACACTGCAGGTAGAAACTGTTTAATTACGTGTTTCAGCAGGAACACTGCAGGTATAAACTGTTTATTTACGTGTTTCAGCAGGAAAACTGCAAGGGACGGGGGGGGTCCGAAAATCTTTCTTTATGATTGCGTCTTAGTTTGGACAGGACATGTAAACCATGTCATTATTTCATTAATGTTCTTCATCCGCTTCAGTTTCTTAAAGAGATATTTTAAAAGATTAGGGCTTCAGTGCTACAATATATACAGGGTTACCCACAAAGAATGAAACTGAAAAGACGATCTAAAACTCATTCAGTTTTTTGCCTTGAATATAATCTTTTATGGCTTACTCAATGATTAGGAAGAGAGAAAAATCAAATACTTTTTTCAATATGCATTGAATATTAGACTAATGAATTAATCCTTTATGACCTAGCACAGTGACAGAGGACAATGGAAGTTTGAATAATCTATTTAGTATTCTGAAGTTAATCTAATTACCTTGCATAATAAATATTCATTGATATAGTTTAATCTCCAGCAGTTTAATAGATACGTTTAATTCAAAATAAATGGAATTTAATTAAGATAACAAATTATTTTTTGTGTGAATTATTTAAAATGAAACTGAAGCTGAAGAAAAACTGGTTTTAATGGGACTGTCAAATTAATTTCAAGTAACCAGCCATTTATTACTTTTGAGATTTTAGATTCAAAATGTTACCTGTTGTCTGATCATTGATGAAATAATTTCATTCATTTGTACTACTATTGATAGACAAATTAATCTTTGAGTGGATTTTTAACATTGAAATTATGTCGCTAGTCCCTTTAAGTTGGAAGATATGGAAGAAATTTTGTATCAGTCTGTGTGTGTGTAACTGACAGTTAACTATTGTAGGTCTATGAAAGCACAAACTCCGTGTGCTAGAGCAGCCAAGTTATGGCACAGTGGGGCTCTGCCCACTCTTCTATCCACTCTACTCCTCATCAGTATACAAACCTCCTTATTTACACTCTAGATACATCTCCACTCTACTCCTCATCAGTATACAAACATCTTTATTCACACTCTAGAAACATCTTCACTCTAGTTTCATAGATAGTTAATACCACTTTTCAAAATTTTCATCAGTTATTTTAATTAAATCAAAGTTTTAAAGGGACTGTTCACGAATTTTGAAAAGCGTCAAATTATGATGCCAGTTTTAGTTGATACGGTGTTTCTACGCCAAGTAATACCATTTATCGACACAAACCAGATGGCAATCAACCCAACATGTTATTCAAATTTGTCCCAACACCCCGTTTTGAAAGTCATGAAAATTCCCATCACGGTTTTCTTAAAGAAGAAGGGTTTTAATTTTACATAAATTCGGATTTAATCTTGCGCTTTCTTGTCATATCATTGATCTGATCTTATATTTAACCTTGCCACGGTCTTATACATCTCTTTTATATGCTTGCTGCGTTAAACTCTAGAGAATATTAACGGTCTTTTCTCCAAATAATACTTTTCTCAAAATTTCTATTAAACAGCGTGTCCCAAATCATATTGGATTGAAAAAAGATCTCGTATTTCATTAATGACGGTGATAATTAATAGTTTTTTTTCTGAAATATCTAATTATTAATTGAATTAGATAGATAGATTGATATTTCCAGAAACTTGTATTAAAATTGTCCTTCATGGCATGAATGGAATAACGGCTCTTTAGTCTTTATTTAATCAAATATCAGTTTGCAGTTTACATTCTTAAATTCTTAAACAAATCATACAGTGTATAATTTTACACAGGTTATCATTATCATTATTATTATTTATAGTTCCTTTGCTTTCTCAACTGTACGGCATGTTTTAAATTATATTTATATATTTGGACAATTTTCCAGATTTTGGTCATTTCTCCAATAATAAACATCTAATGTCTGAAAAAAAAATTCAAAAAGATTACAAGTATTACTGACCAATTTTCTCAAAAATGGATAAGTTTCTGTATGGATTTCTATATTTCTGTTGTACTTATTACTCTAATCTGTAAGTACGTTTAGCGTCCTGAAAATGCCAGATTTTTACAGTTACAATCTGTATGTCACATCATTGGTAATATTATAGCTGTTGATAATGTTTCTTGTTGTTTTAATTAAATTAACTTATCCAGATAGTCCAGTTTTTCTGTTTTTAACTGGTAATCATTTTTAATCAGGCATTTTTCGACTATATTTTGTGCCATTTATAATTTAGATGTTAAAATGTAGGATATAATTGCATAGAAATACGATGTGCTGTGACGCTATTAGTTAAAAAATAAAAATTTAAATATTGTTTATTCTTGATTTCTCAAGTTTTGATCTTTTACTGGAAATGATTTTATTATTCACCAGGGGCCATGCCAGTCCATCAATGAAGGGCACAGATCAGGTAGTAGGGTTTCCAATTGGAATTCAATAGCGTGCAACTGTTCTAGAATTGCGCGCAATTGTGCGGAATTGCGTGGAATTTTTAGGGCTCGCAATTGCGCGCAAGTAAAATCCACTTGCGTTGGAAACCCTATCAGGTAAATATAAAGATGCGTCTGGGCGTCTGGGCGTCTGGGCGTCTTGACAAGTTTATACCTGTCGCAACATTCATTTAAATTAAGCCAAATATTTCTATGCAGCCGACTGTTAAGTAAATCTCATTCACGCTGAATAGGCAGGGCGGTCCGCGTCAATGATCTTTCTTTGAATACCATAATCTGTGATCAAGGCTCTAACATAATTGTGGAATGTGGATATCCTTTGTTAAGCATATATGTCGATTGCAGATATTCTTCATTGAATATTATGTTGATTAATATGCATATATTTTAAATAAAGAATATTTGGTATATAACTTGTCACATTCTAGCCTTGTTCGAACATGAATTCAATGCAAGATATAAATATAAAAAATTCTAAAATTAAAGTTTTTTCTACCTTTATTGAATTATAAAGATCGAGTTGCTTTCATGTTTTGTGTTGCGGGAATTCATTTAATAATCTAGCCAAGGAAGAAGATCGCATGTTACAGTTTGATCCAAACAAATCTGGAATAGGAAGACGACTTTCAGACTCAAGTTATGACTTTAAATAGTCCATTGAACACGAGACACTTGTGCAATGTAAAAAGACCCATTTCACTTAATAAATGATTTAATAAGTTAACAGTAGAACTATTTGCTTTGTAACAAAATTGTTGCTTCAATGTCGGCTTCCTATATTCAAGTTTTCTGGTTCTCCCTGTATATCTATCGAGAAAGTATTTTTGTTTGAGAAAAGTTACTCACACTTCTTTTTTAGTTGAATTTTCCCTTTAATTCATTAGTTGGCTTTTTCAAAACTTCACTCTCAGTTATGGGCCCATTAAAACTTTTAAACATATATCTTGTCAACAGATTATAAACAGTCTAAGCCTAGACTAAAAGCTGGAAAATTGCAGTTGCTAAATATTGAAATTTTTGAAAATTTAAAATTGAAAATATTTGGAAATTTTCAGTTTCTCCTTTATAAGCACAAATTCTGTTCAATGGAGGGTTTAGAATTTGAAGAAAAGACAGGGTTAAAGACATTTGTCGGTTTTGACAATGTCCTATGACTGACTGAGTGTCCTTTTGAGTAATTGGTGTGACGGGAGGGGGCAAATGGGTTAATTTAGGGGGTTCAACTGATAAAGAGGGTGGGGGAGAATGAGAGAAATGTAAGGGAACAGTAAATTTCCCAGGCGTTTGAGGACCACGAAAAAAAGTATCTTCAATATTAGGGGGGGGGGGGGTTGTATCATCACGGTTTTGTGAATCGGGAGAGGGCGCCAATCATAAACGTGACAATTGGCATTTTTCGATTCTAGCAGAATTGACAATCCCATTTCTAAAATCGTCCAACACCCGACAGGAAACTACAGGGTGTCCCACGAAACATGTCAGTTGGTGAATAGTTTAGAATGTCTTCTTCCATAATTTGTTAAGTTGTTTAATACCAAAGACAATAATACAAATACTATACGGGAGTCATGGTATAGTAGAACTGGTTTCAAAGAAAAATATGTTCCAGAAAAAGATTTTTTTAACAAAATAAACTGCTATAAGCCTTTAATATCTAATAAAGTATATAAAAGACGACTTTCCAACTGTCATGTATCATGGGACACCCTGTACATCCTGTGCCGAAATGATTAATCTGAGATAGATTCTAACTATTCTGTGTATCCGTTGGAAGGGGTTGACGCAACGTTGTTTAGCTACATGCAGGGTTATCCACAAAGAATGAGATTTTAAAGACGACCAGAAACTATTTAACTCTGACGATTCCAAGGTTTAATTCAGTCCAATGCCTTAAATATAATTTTTTTAATGGCTTATTCAATGGTTGGTCAAATAAAGAAACAAGTTTATAGTTGCATGCAACTTATATTTCTGATCTTGCAAGGAATCAGAAATATAAGGAAACAGACGGAATAAATTCTTGACAGTCGTCTCTGAAGTCTCATCCTTTGTGGGTTACCCTGTAACCGCGATTCTGATTTTATTTTAGATGATTTAGATATTTATCTTTTAAGCTTGATATCAAATCAACCAAGAATTATGTGTTCAATGTTGACACAGTGGCACATGCAAGAATACAAATTTACAAATATTTGATTCGCTGTAATACATTTTTATGACATATTCCCTCTGGAAGGAAAAGTTAGATTTTCACTTAAAACTAGTTTTGATGTCTTTATTCCCTGAACAAAAGGAAAGAATTTTAGGAGAGACACAAACTTATTTAACCTTCTCACTCAAATCCTTAATGCATTGATTTAAACCTTCCCCCCACCCCCTTCTACATTTCCTTTTCATTGATTTCCCACCTCTGCACCTTAGTAATACATCGATTTCATACATAAAAATTTCTCTTTTTATTCTCTGTCTCCTAAATATCAAGATTCCAGCTTGCCATCATCTCTGTCTCCTAGCAATAAAAATTTCCCCTCTCCTTTAACTTCGTTATTTAAAGATCTTTCCCTCTTCTCTCTCTATTAAGATTCCCCCCTTGTCCTCTTTTCCACCACCTTTATATAAAGATTCCCCTTTGCCCTCTTTTCTATCTTTGCCTTCCAAATTTAAGATTCCCCCTTGCTCTTTCTCCATCACCTTTATATTTATATTAACCTTTGCCCTCTTTTCTATCTTGGCCTTCCACATATCAAGATTCCATCCTTGCTTCTTTTCCATCACCTTTTTATAAAGATTACACCCTTGCCCTCTCTTCTAACTTCGTCCCCATCTGCTAAATATCAAGATTCTCTCTTTGCTCCTTCTCCATCACCTTAATATAAAGATTACACCCTTGCCCTTTCTTTTAACTTCGTCCCCATCTGCTAAATATCAAGATTCTCTCTTTGCTCCTTCTCCATCACCTTTATATAAAGATTACACCCTTGTCCTCTCTGCTAACTTCGTTATTCAAAGATCTTCCCCATCTCCTAAATATCAAGATTCCCCCCTTGCCCTCCTTTCCATCACCTTTATATAAAGAATTACACCTTTGCCCTCAATTCTCTATCTTCTAAATATGAAAATTTCCCCTTGCCCTCTCTTCTAACTTCTTTATTTAGAGAGCTTACCCTTACCCTCTTCCCCATCTCAATATTATCAAGATTCCCCTTTTTCCATCTTCCCCGTCCCCATATTTATTAAGATTCCCACCTTTTTTCCATCTCCATAATATTAAAATTAAAATTGATTTTCCTTCCTCTCTCTCACTAGTCTATCCACTTAACGTTTTTACCTAGCTTCGATTATATATGCTTGAGATGAAATGTGTAAACAAACTATTAAGTTGAAAGTTAGGCTTAGTTCTGCTTTCCATCTTACCCCTGCACTTTCATTGATATATGTATTGTGAAATACGTTCTTAGCAATTTAGGATGCTCTGCACCTCTTGTTTATAATGCATAAATGGCAAACTATCAAAAGTTAGAAAATGTTCATAATTATCATTAAATGGCAAGGAAAAAGTGCCAAAATGTAAAAATTTCCATCTATAAATGTTGCAAGATTTCATATATAAAAACAGCGATAGAGAAATATAGTGTTTTTTGCCCCACCTAGATTAAATCTTTTATAGATCCCTGCAATTTTTGACCATTTTGGGGCTATAGCTTAATTTTTCTTAGCCATGGGTAGTACACTATATCAAAAATTTAAAAGGTAGGTCGAAAAATAGTTAACCTCTTAACCTTTTAAACCTTGTTAAGTGCTTCTGGTCTTTCTGTAATTTATAAAAAAAAAAAATGGAAAAATTGCTTTTTTTTAAATATATCCAGAATCACTTTACATAAAAAATCAGACGAAAATTCTTAGATATCAGAGAAATAAACAAACTATTCAAAGAAACGGCATAAGCTAGAAGAAAAGGGGGAATAATTTATGTTATGATAATAAACGGAGAGTGCGCTAAAGTTTATATTAAACATCAGTATTTGACCTGAAATGTTCAACAAACAGTTTCAGTCGGGTACTAACTAATGATAGATCAGAAAAAGTTCGGTTTTTTACAGTCCAAAAAAAGGGGGGGGGGAAGGGAACCTTTTCGCGTCTGTTTTTTGGGGAGGGGTAGCCTGGTTGGCTTACCCCTCCCTGAAGGCTACCAACAAAAACAAAGGTCATCTTTAAATGTACCCGTCTGACGTTTGTACTGGTTCGACGTTTGTACTAGTCTGATGATTGTTTCAGTCCGACGTTTGTACTGTCCGACCTTTGCAACGTCCAACGTTTGTTGCACTAGTACCTTTTTCCAACATTTATGACGTGTAACCCATCTCATAACGTTTGACAATTTGAGAAACAAAAATCGGGATTTTTTAACTACCTTGATCAATTAGAAGGCAAAAACTTAATTTTTTTTAATTTGAAAAACCGAAGGATATCGAGTAAAGACTTAGCATAGCTTAGTTTTATCTCAAAGAAAAACTCCCACCTCAGTATTTAAAGAATTCTTCTTGCAAACAGATATTTGCTTTACCACTAATATTAAAGATTTAAGCACAGCTTTCTTAAAATATTTTTTATCTTTCAATATATGGAACACAACTTACACATAATATGTTGGGTTCCTAGTTTTATCTTTCAGATATTTATCTATATGAAACACAGCAGTTTTATCTTTCAGACATATGGAACACAGCTTACACATAAAATGTTCCTGGCTCTTTGTTTTATCTTTCAGATATATGGAACACAGCTTTTAAATATCTTTATTTTAAACATACAGGGTGTCCCACGAAACATGACAGTTGGTGAATAGTTTAAAATGTCTTTTTCCATAA